CATAATTTCATTTGATAAACACGTTTAGATTGAATGGTAATTTATAATCAGTCACAAGAACGTCGAATCTGAATCACTTGAAAAAAACACGGGGGTGCTTAACTTTTTTTCCAGGTGTGTATATATATAAGGTTAAAGGTGGAAGCGTATCCGTTCCATAAAGAAGGGGTGGCTGCTAAGATAAAGAACTGTGTAGTAAGATAATTTCTGTTGTGTGCTTTCTTGTAACATTTAGTTTTTAGCTTGGTGAATATGATTTTAATTGTTGGTAGTTTAGTGCCGTTGTTAATACAGTATGTAGGTGTATATTATGGAATGCAGACAGCTGTTTGCAGGGCACGATTTTGTGTTTGTAGTATGTATGATCATCGTTGCATATTCCATTAATGGTCCGATAAATGTTTTGCAAGTTAATAAAAGTGGTGTCAAAACTAAGCCGTACACTTTGTAGCCTGTCTTGCGTAGGTGTTTAATTCTTGTATCTTGAAGATAATTTCGTTGAAGTGCGGTTTCCATGAAAATTTGTTGCTAAACGTTATACCTAAGAATTTGACATTATCAATGAAAGTGATAGGTGTTTGGTCTAGCTTAAGGGTGAAGTCTTATATTTTAGTTGTAATACCACGCAGGAACTTTGTAGCTTGACACTGACTGACTAACTACATATTCTCTTGAACAAAATAACAGACAACGTTATTAATATTTCTTAATTAAATGAATGGTGTAACTTGTATTAGTTTTTCTCAGACTCATCTTCCTAAAGACGACCATAAGCTAAAGAAGGTCCAGCTGAATCTTTAGTTTTCTACCCATCAAACATCAAAGGTGTTGGAATGTGACCTGTAATTTCTTGTGGTGCAGTTCTACAGCTCATTACCAGAAATGTTTGTTTTTTTAGAGCAAAGCCACATTGGGCTATCTGTTGTGTCCACTGTAGGGAATTTTATCATTACAAGTCCAGAAACTTGCCTCTGTCCCACCGGGGGACCATCAAAAGTGCCAGGTCTTGGTTCTTCGGCCCAAGTCTTCAGTCTTTTGTTCTTATACCATGGTTGTTTGTTTTGAAGCACAAAGCTACACAATGGGCCATCTGTGCTATGCCTATTATGGGTACCCAAACTAAATTTTTTGTATTATAAGCATTTAGACATATCACTGATCCAACAGCCAGTAGTACTATACGAAAGAAAAGATCAAGACATATATAATCATTTTTATTTTTTCATTCATATAATTCGTAATTTTTGCAAACAGCACTGATTCAGAGTTCTATCACTGATCAAAATAGAATCCCATGAGTACTCCATATCCAGGTACAAACTAATTTAACTAGCTTCCATCCAGTGATTAATTTTATTTAGTTTTAGAAACTATTTACACCACTGATCAAAATTTTTGAAAAATATTCTATCACTACTGTAATTTACTTGTGTTCATCACTTGGCTACGACAGTATGCCTAGAACATCAAAAATTATCCTCCAAGTGTTGCTCCAAAAATTGTACTGGTGTAATTATTCACACACTTTTTTCTAGGGTTACTTTTCAAACTAGTAAATGACAAAAGATAACATTTGAGACAGAAAACTAAATATGATTACTTCATGATGAAGTCTTGGTGAGGGGTTGAATGTTTAAATTTAGAAATTAACAGCCTGAATAAAATAGTAATTCATATTAATATTTGAGCTTACATTAAAACTGCTAGTGAATTAGATAGTACATGTACATCTTCATTAAAAAAAATAAATCTAGAAAGTATTAAGTAAATATACTTCAAAATTTAATGTATTCAAGGCTTCTTTGCCTCTTATAAAATTTATCATTTGTTTAACAATGAAATTACTTTACAAAAAATATTATCTCAACTATAACAGATTGTGCATGGTTCTCTTAAATAAAAAGTTCTGATGAGTCAATCCCTCAAATTTACCAGATACAATTGAAAAAAACTCTTACACCTATTTATATGTTTTGTTAGTTATCAGCCATGATACATAAATAATCAATTATAAAGTTAGCTATTCTTTGCACCTTTATAGAAGCTAGATAATGTCAAAATGGAAGTTGTTAAAAATAAGTCAATCCAAGTATACAGGTTTGCTGTGTTATTACTTTATCTTGAGGACTGGCCCTAAATATGAACAAAAGCTGTAACAGATTTAATAATCTAACTGATTCACATACAATTCTGTATGGAATGATCGTATTTATGAAAATTAAAAAAATAAAAGAAACTTGTTTCTTACAACAAAGTCTAACATTTTTTAATTACATAACCGTGAACTAATATGAAAGAATTTAAAATCCTATTAACTTTGGAAATCAACAGAAAAAAAAATCATTATTAGCACTTGTTCTCTTCAACACTAAACTTTACCTTTTTAAATCTCATTTTACTACTAGCAAAACTTTAATGTACATTAAAACTATTTGTACTACAACACTTCTAAATCTTTTTAGTGTTTTTAAAGTAAACAAAAAGTGTCTTAATTTTCCAACATAGTAAAATATTGGGTACACATCCAAATATATATTATATATGTATATATATATACATAAACTGCTTTAATACAAGAATGCTGTTTTGTATAACAAATATGCAAGCTTTCTAAACACATGCTAATAGTACTTTTTTTTTCCACTATCATCTATGTTTATACTTTCTATAAAAGATCTAGATAAGAATTGGTAATCTATAAGTATTCATGAAATACTAACACATACTTGTGATACTATTTCCACAACTTCAAAGTAAATGTAATTCTTAATGTATATTAAGTTGCTTTATACTTCCTTGTTAATTTGGAAAACTCAGAAACATTTTAGTCATACACCTTTCTAAGTAACAAAAACTCAGCAAAATAAGTTCACATAAAAAATGTCTACTTTTTCAAACAGATATGTACTTTTTTTTTTTTACAGGATTTAAGAGAAGTTATGAGGCGTTGGCATATATTATCTGTAAAATGTTTGAACTATACAATCATTAGATTTAATTTTCCACACCATTTTGTAAGTTAGATCAATTTACCACATAAACTTTCCTTTTTTTTTGGACTACCTATTTCTGTACCAAAAATAATAGCTTAAATATATTAAGCAAACATATAATACCACACATACAAAAAAAAACTTTCCTTTTTATTATCTTATTATATTTAAACCAAATACTTTTTCATAATTCACTGAAGAACAAATTCATCCAGAATACACTACAAGTGTCACTTCTTTTCCAAATTGTTGTCATACAGCAGGAGAAATCTTTTGAGATGAAATACTATTTGATGACAAATTTAAAATTATTAAAAACCTTTAACACTTTCAATAGTCACTAATGATATCAGAAAGATTAACTTATTGGCAATATCTTATTTCATGTCTACCAATCATAAAAAGATAGAAGCTGGATAAATGTAAGATATAGGATTCCATTCAAAAGAATAATTTTTAATTTCTTATGATTTTGATGTATATTTTTACTCATTCAGTACCTTTGACACTTACCTACCACTTCAAATTTTTTTATATATACAAAACACAAACATGAAAAGTTCTAATGTAGTAGACTGACCAGAAAATGTTAACTAAATTGGTAACTCAAATTTCACATTGAATGCTGCTGTTTTTGCTAGTCCAACAATTGTTGAAAGCTTTACAACCTGAGAGAAAAAAAAAGGTTTATTACTAATAGAATTGAACATTTCTGACACAATTTCTGTATTATGTATGAAAGATGACTACACAAAAATATTTCTGTGAAATTTCGATTATTTCACTATTTATCTTTTCTTACAAAACTTATGTTTAAGGCTGTCCTTCACATATTAAAGGCTAAGTAATTAAGAAATAACCTACATTTTAATATTCAATGAACTTGTGAATAATATTGCTAGTTCTAAAAAAGTTTTAATTCCTTAATATAAAACTTTTTTGTTGTTTTGTTTTGCTGACATGTCTTCCCTAATTTCAGGTAAAACAAAATTTATTAAAAAAGGCCTAATCTATCTCTTGTTTTTATAAACCTTTCTAAATTTGTACTTCTACTGTTTTTAATTTTGAAAGTAAAAAATAAATACATTGCGTATAAATACACATACGCATGTATGTGGTTTTCCACACCTTAAGTTACACACAAATACAACAGTTCCCTTATCATATCGTTTTACACAAAATGCACCTAAGAAGCTCAATATTAACATTAAACAGAAGTTAACTTAACTTTTTACAAAGCAAGAAGTAACCTTAAATCTTTAAATCCAACATACTCATAACAAACATTTTTCTAACTAACCAGATGTTCGAATCAGTGAAGACTTCAATACTTACCATTTTTGCTGCCTCATCTAAGTTATCACAGGCTAAAATTTTTAACTTGCTTGCAGCAATAAGAGCTTTAGCATCATCAACTTGGGTTCCTAAATAATTTTCAATAAATTTTAATCATTACTAAAATAATTTAAGAAACAATGTTTTATTCATTATCATCTTAATATTGTAGACCTAAATATAGTAATACATACTTGAACCAATATAACAATACTATTTTTCAAGTTTTTTTTATTTATAATCCACATTTAGTAAAAATTATAGTATTATTATGAGAACAATGCTTACAAACAACAATGACAATTGTTATTATAAAAAAACCAAATATCACATTCTTTTTAAAATTAAGAATAAAGATTTTTTCACATAATTAAACACAGCAAGCGAGTTATTGTGAATATAACATTATTGATTCTAATAGAATTAATATTTCTAATTATTTATGGTACCAGGAAAACACATGGGATCAAAAAAAGTAGATGGGTCACAATTAAAGAAACTCAATAATCAAAGTAATTTTGGGAGATAGATCTCACCTCTTTAAAAGAAAGATCTAGGAATATAGTTTCTGAAGAAAGATGGTGATCTTCAGACACTGAGTTTATTTCATTATAGTATCTCCGTTTAGATGTACACATACATTTCTTACCTTGCAGTCGACAAACAATAGGAATTTTCAGGTCTAATTTTTCAGCAGCCAAGATGATTCCCTCAGCTATTACATCACACCTCATTATTCCACCAAATATGTTTACTAAAATTGCATGAACCTGGAAAATTAATATTTTGTACGGTAAGTGCACAGATTCATGATTCCAAAACTTTCAAGTACAAATTCAACAAGCTTGTGACTTTCTCAAGCTTATCTTTTAAACGTAATCCTTATAAAGATTGGAAAATCTACTAATTACTTGTGCTGGTTAAAATGAATTAATTTTAATAGCTGAAAGGAAGGTAAATTTGACATCTTTAAGCAAGAAAAGAATTTAAGATAATTATGATTATGATTAATGAATTATTTAAAAAAATTTGAATATTTTTTTGGTTGATTGGAGTTAAGCACAAAGCTAAACAATAGGCTATCTGTACTGTGCCCACCACGGGCATCTATACCCTGGGGGATTTGAATATTTTAACAATAATATTTTGAAAGTTGTGAATAATAGCTACAAAACATATATTTTCTATTGAAAGTCATATATTGACTTTATTTATTAAAGGATCTGTGTTTTGTATTACAATGGTAAAGAAGGTTACAGAAATCGCATAAAATTTGTTGTGTTTCAGTTTTCTGACATTCAGGATGATCACTGAAGCAAATGCTTTAATGTCTCCCCATTAGCAAATAAGGTTTTTAATATGGAATTGATATTAAAAGTTTCAAATCAGGATAATGAAACCTAAATTGATATGTACTTGGTAATTTCACCTAAATAGCAACTTATACAAACATACACTAAATAATCAGATCAAAAATCACTAAGGTTCAGTCACAGCAATCTTTAATTTTGAACTACCGACCAGAGGAACCCACTTCGACAAGGACTGACATGAATAACAAGATTGACTGTCACTCTTATAATGCACCTACAGCCAAAAATGTGGAGTATATACAGTGGCACTAAAATGTGAAACTTGGACCTTTTTTGATTCCCAACACATCACGCTAACCACTAGGTAATGCCTAGCCTACCTAGTTGAATAAGTTTCCCTTTTATATGTACTTAACTACATTTGGATCAATTTGAAATAACTTACAGACTGATGAAGTGAAAATTCCAACATAACTATCCTTAAAACAAGTTGTAACTACAGCTGGCTATGTATAGTTAACTGGGTACATTTCTGAACTGTCAGTGACAAAAAGAAATCTAAAATTAATATGAAACATTAGATTTTATTTAGTAATCCTTTACTAACGATTGTTTCTTCTGTTAATAATAAAATATTTTTTAAGAAGTTCTCATTCTATTTACTTAGATGACACCAATGGTAATTTGCACCACAGAGAGAAAGTTTAACTTGGGTAAGTCACATTGACTAATCAAGTTCTAAAAGAGTTACAAACTCACCAGTATTATCTATAACATACAAGTATTTATGTGACTCACATGTGTATCTGAAGTGATAAGTTTAAAAGCTTCTGTTACTTGTTCTGCTGTTGCTCCACCACCCACATCCAGAAAATTAGCAGGTGAACCACCATGGAGTTTGATGATATCCATGGTGGCCATAGCTAGACCAGCACCATTCACTGTGTGGAAGCAAGATTCACTTGTTAGAAAGTTTAAAAATTTTATTTAATTAACCCTTTCCAGACGAGTCACGGGTGAAAGTCCATGTCACCACGTTTGTTGACTCGCATTCAAAATTTTATTGAACTACTATTTCATGAACTAAACAAAAAACATGCTAAAATAATCTTAAAGTGTTGGTTACATCCCATATTCGTCATAAAATACAATGAGATTTGTGACTGCTTCAGATCTTCAAAATAGTATCTGTGTTATACACAGAGGTCAAATAACTTTGGTATCAAACTGTAGATTATAATTCAAATTTTAGTACTAAATATTACTCAATTTCTTAATTTAAAAGCAAATATTAAAAAAATACAATTAAACATCAATTTCTGTGTGTCACGTTGTATGTTGTATACAGTACTGGTTCAAATTAGATGTTTGTGATGTCAAAATACTAAGTCTATATTTCGTATGAATTAGGAACTCAAATTACAGATATTGACAAGCTAGAATATAAAATACGAGCCTCTTATCTATTCAATTTGCTAAGATATTGCACATGTAATAAATCAAACACAGTGGCATCCCATCCATCTCTTTACATTTTTGGAAATGCTCCCTTATATACACTTATTTATATGACATGAATAACCAATTGAAAGCTCATAATGCCTCCCTAGTGGCTTTCTCAGCCATTTTAATGTGTTTGGACGCCATCTCTTTCTTTCTAACCAAGATTTCAAGGAGGTAGGTTGTCTTTAGTCTGCTCAAAATTTCATACTTCTTAAACTGAAATACAGCTTAGTTACTAAGCTTGATAAATTATAGTGGAATTCTGTCGTATTGGTATAGTAATTTATGATTTTTTTAGTTATTCTACTGTATATATATATAAAACCTAAAAAAAATGATTTTGTTTTATATATCCTCCATGTGCAAAATTTTAAAAGACTTAGCAACCTACATCAAGCAGCAACTGAGTACAAAGGTCATAACTAGAAGAGATAATTTTTTTGCTTTACTTCTTTATTTACTGTTCCATGTTTTAAGAAAAATAAGTTTAAGAACTTATTTCTAAATAGCAATAATCTATATATACATATATAATGTATGATAATAGAAATGTGACTATTTTACAAAATACTAGTCTACGAAAACACATCTAAGACAGATCAGTTTTATATTATTGGATACAGTAACATGAGTGCACGCGTACTGCATCATTGTAACTTCTGTATTGTTAGCCAGGCACAGCTGAAATGTCAATATAATAAAAATAATAAATATATAAATAAATGTATAAGGTTATGTTTTTGTGTTATAATTTGTGTTCATTATAGAATGAAAGAGGCATAATTTGTATTTATTTCCTAATTTTTTATGGTGGTCATGAGATCGGTCAAATCTACTGAACCTGTACAGAGATTCATTACTGAAAATAAAATATAAAGTTTTTTTCTTAAGAAACATTTGATAACTATCCTGGACATTATAAAAGATTTTGCATGTGTAAAATTTCAAACTATTTTTCTGATGCAACTAAAAAGTTTTTTAATACTTAAAATGAAAAATTACTTTGCATGTTGGATAGGCAACATGTAGAAAAGAAGAAAAAAGGCATGACAAAAACATTGCTTTACAAACCTTAAAGCTTAAAATAAAAAAAAATTATATTTTGCATACGAAAGCATTGTTTAACTGTTTTTTTTTTATGTCTGTTTAATGGCCACAATACAGTAAATGGATTTTAGATTGAAAGGTGTGTACTTTATTTATATTGAAGCATTTCAGTTAGTTTAGCATGTAAATTTCCCCAGAGACTTAACTTTTGTATAAATAAATAAATGTTTCAGTTGTGCTAGGTTTGTTTTCCTTGTATGATTTATGTTTCTTAACTCTCTCAGCACAGGCTCGGCCCCTGGGACTGACCTCATAACCATTTTGGGCTTGTTATAGCTTTCTTGCTATAACTTTTAAATTAGTAAGCATATGTTAATGAAATTTGGCAGATTATCAGTGAACATTACAGTGCTTTCGTATGCAAAATATAATATTTTTTATTAAGCTTTAAGGTTTGTAAAGCAATGTTTTTGTCATGCCTTTTATCTCTTTTCACATGTTGCCTATCCAACATGCAAAGTAATTTTCATTTTAAGATTAAAAAACTTTCGTGCATCAGAAAATGTTGAAATTTCACATGCAAAGTCTTTATAATGTCCAAATAGTTATCAAATGTTTCATAAGAAAAAAACTTTATATTTTATCTGTTATTTTCAGTAACGAATCTCTGTACAGGTTCAGTAGATTTGAACGATCTTACAACCACCATGAAAAATTAGGAAATAAACATCAATTATTCCTCTTTCATTCTAGAATGAACACAAATTATAACACAAAAACATAAATGTTTAGATGAAATAGCTTAAATCTCATAACATTATACATTTATATATATATATATTTATTATTTTTATTATATTCTCCTTTCACCCGTACCTGGCTAAAAATACAGAACTTACTATGACACGGCTCACGTGCACTCATGTTACTGTATCAAATAACATAAACTAACCTATGGTCTGTACATAGTAACTTGTCTTAGTTGTGTTTTAGTTGACTAGTATTTTGTAAAATACAGTCACATTTCAATTATTATACATTATGTATGTATATAGATTATTGCTATTTTTGAAATACGTTCTTAAATATATTTTTCATAAAACAAAGAACAGTAAATAAAGAAGTAAAGCAAACAATTATCTATTCTAGTTACGACCTTTGTACTCGGTTGTTGCTTGACATAGGTTGCTAAGCTTTTAAAAATTTTGCACTTGGAAGATATGAAACAAAATATTTTTTTTTAGGTTCTATATGTACATTTGAATAACTACAAAAATCATAAATTACTACACCAATAGCATAGAATTCAACTATAATTTATCAAGCTTAGTAACTTGTGTGTATTTTACTCTAAAAAAATATGAAATTTCGAGCAGACTGAAGACACAACCTACCTCATTGAAATCTTGATTCAAAAGAAAGAAATCACGCTAGTCATGTTAAAAAGGCTGAGAAAGCCACGAGGGGACATTCTGAGCTTCTGATTGGTTATTTATGTCATATATAGAACTAAGTGTATATAAGGGAGCATTTCCAAAAATGTAAAGAGTTGGGCGGGGTGCCACTATGTTTATCACAAGAGCAATATCTTAGCAAATAGGAAAGGTAAGACCTTCTTATTTTATATTCTAGCTTGTCAACATCTAGAATTTGAGTTTCTAATCTGCACGAAACTGTAGACTTAGTATTTTGACTTCACAAACATCTAATTTGTACCAGTGCTACATTGAACATACCACATGACAAACAAAAATCGATGTTTATCTGTTTTTTAATATTTACTTTTAAATTAAGAAACTGAGTAATGTATAGTTCTAAAACTTGAATTATAATCTACAGTTTGATACTAAACTTATTGACATAAACTCATGAAAAAGCAGTTCAATAAAATTTTGAATGCGAGTCAACAAACGAGATGACATGGCCTTTCACCTGTTACCCGTGTTGAAAGGGTTAATAACCCAAATTTATAGAAACTCATTATATTTACTGACTTCAATGATGCTAGTTCTGTTTACTTTGCTTTTGCAACGTTTTGAAATATAGCATATACACTTTCCTCTGAACAGTATTAATCAGAATAAAAAAATACAACAAAATTTGTTGAATATAACAAGCAATAGTTCAAGTAGTATTTAATTTGTGTTTATAAGCTCCTGAGAAATCACATCATACATTTCCCTCTGAAGGGAAATAACTTTGTCAAAAAATTTCAAACTCCAAACCTAAGCAGCCTATGTCTCCATCAAGAGCAATGTAGTTCAAGTTGTGTTCAGAAGCTTCTTTTTCTCGAGGATCCTCTTGAGACCAGTCCCTCTTCTGGAATAATTCTTTCTGTCTGAAGATGGCATTGTCATCAAACCTGCACTTAGCATCAAGGCAATATACTGCATGACAGAAACATTTTAATATTAGATTTCAATTTTTTTATTATCATGCTTACTTGCAAGGTGGATGTTGTGTTTTCTAACTTAGTAGAAGGGTAAAGCAAATTTAATTACCTATACAATTGCAAAGTAAACTATTACAATAAAACAGACCTCATGTTAAGTTTCACTATTTACACTAATTTGATTAACTCCTTATGCACTGGTACAGTATCACTAATATCCTAATTTTTTCTTTTTGCAAAATGAAAATAATTAAAGAACTTTCATGAAAATTTGTACAAACTTACTAAATTGTTTGTTTGTTTGTTTTTGAATTTCGTGCAAAGCTACACGAGGGCTATCTGCGCTAGCCGTCCCTAATTTAGCAGTGTAAGACTAGAGGGAAGGCAGCTAGTCATCACCACCCACCGCAAACTCTTGGGCTACTCTTTTACCAACAAATAGTGGGATTCACAGTCACATTATAACGTCCCCAGTTTCAGCTTAAAAAATTCATGTAATTTGAATTAGTATTTCTATAATTTTTAGGCTATGAAATCTCCAAAGTTTGGTCATCAGACACCATTCTGATAAAATATTTTGTATTAGAATTTCAACTTTCTTTTTTATTGTTGATCAGAAAGTTCCAATTTAGATACCAGTTAGTCTCAAGCTGATTGATATTCATTATTAAAATGCTTTATTTTGCTCATTGCAGTAGTCATTACTTCTAGCTATGACTTGTAAAAAATATGGTAAAAAGTGACAAAGATTTATCATTGATCTAGGACCTCATTTTTCAAAATGCTGTCACCATTATGATTGTCAGGCTTGGTAATGTGATTTTTCCTAACAGTATTCTTGATTGACATCAATTTATATGTAATGAATTTAGTCTATTTTCAACAAATAGTAGCTTATTTCATTTACGTATTCAATAAATAAGAAATTAAGTCTTTGGAGTATTTTGCCATCACCTACTGTACTTGCTAATCCTAACTAAATTTATCTGATGGCTTGTCATGGAAGAAAAGTTCCGTATTTTTCAAACAAATATAATTTAACAGGAAAGCATTTTCAGAAATGTAAAATGTGTCTAAAGAAACTACAAAAAAAATCCATATCTGTTTTTTGTTCTTAAGCCTTCTAAACTTTTGACAATTATAATTCTTTGTTCTAAATCTATTCTATCCAATCATATCTAAACATTGGCTAAAGTTATTTTCAAAATTATGAGCTTATTTAGTAACTGTGACATCATAAAAGTGTGAAAATGAAAGATGAATGATTAAACCACCAACAGAGAAGGAAAATCACATAAGAAACAAGGCATTGATATTACGTTCCCAAAGGATGATAATTTCTTAGTAAATATAAACCTATACTTTGGGAATGCAGATAATTATAAAAAACAAGTTAACATTTTCTTAAACTGAATATGTATTTCCAATAATACTTATCTCCGCTGACACTATAGCTATTTCTCAATCTCCAGGGTTTCTACCCTTTGCCCATCTAAGCATTGAAAATGCTTGCTCCAGTCTTTTATACCCCACTCGAAAACCCTTGGCAAATTCTAAGTTGCAAAATTCCCCACCAATTTCAGTGCGCCCTCTATCTAGGTACTGTATATAATCACCTCGTTCAGATAATGTAATCACTTTTTCGAGACGTAAACAAGCTTTTAGTGGGGAGGTAGGGCGGGAGAGTGTCAGCAGAGGTAAATATTATTGGAAATAAATTTTCAGTTTAGAAAAATGTTAACTTTCAAAACATACTTACCTCCGCTGACACTACAGCTAGAATCCCACAATAAGTAGGTGGAGGGGCCAGTGCAGGTGTGAACCATACAGAAAGCATCTGTATAGAACAGGAGTGTACTAAGACAAAGAGATAGTACAAGAGTGGGGGACCTCCACTACATCCAAAACAGGTATGCTTTTTACCTGGAACTCAGTTCCTAAATCAAAGGTGGAATAGAATATGAGTAATCATCAATATAGCCCAGTTCCAACCAGTTAGCCGAGGTTCCACAACTCGGGGTTAAAATTAAGGGGTTGTGGTACCTAAATCACACATTGGTAGCTTGGACTATTGGACCAAAATTGTGTGTGTGTGTATATGTATATATATATATATATATATATATATATATACTACTTTAGTAGTTAGTACCTACCCTAACCGTACGTACGTACTAGTAGACGTACTTAATTTTAGTTTTACGTACCAACCAACGAACGAACTACAACTAAG